CTGAAAACTCTAGAACTGCAGACACATTCGTCACTTTCAAAACTACAGTTAGAAAACATCTTATCTCCCTGATCCACCCCGACAACTAACTACATGATAACCACCTGGTGGTTCACAATTACACTCACCCACTGACTATAAACCCAGAAATACTAATCTTAAAATAATAAATCCTAACTAGTCATAAGCTTGCCTATGATATTCCAATATAGGCACTTTGTATTGTGCAAAATAAAAGCATTCACATTGCTAAATTCATATATTATGATGTAGTCACTTAGCCTTAATACCATAATCTGTAAGGATTTAATGTTAAGAATTAATCTAAGTCTGTTCGAAATGCCTAGCCATGCTAGGCGTCCTAGTGGCCCCCTCTGTAATTAGTATTTTATAACATGTAAACCACACAATACCCAAAACCTGTAAACCCCACACTGTAACCTTATAGAGAATAAACTTCAATTGAATTTAATTGAATTGAATCTACCCTCCCCTCTCTCTCGTGTCTTACTGCAGTTTCCTTGTCATAAAACTCCAGTAGGTTTGTGACACAGGATTTTCCTTACCTGAATCGGTGCTGGTTGTCGTTTATAAGCTTATTCTGTTCTAGGTGCTCCACCACTCTCCTCCTGATAATCTTCTCCTTGGCTTTGCATACTATACACGTCAATGACACTGCTTTGTAGTTTAGTGCCTCGTGTCTGTCTCCTTTCTTAAAAATGGGGACTACATTTGCCATCTTCCGTACCTCAGGTGTCTGCCTAGTTGCAATAGATGTGTTGAAAATTGTTGTTAGTGGCACACACTAACAACACCCTCTCCAAGGGTCCATGGAGAGATGTCCGGTCCCACCGCCTTTGAGGTATCAAGTTCATTTAGCAGCTTCTTCACCTCCTCCTCAGTTGTACCTCATCCAGCACTTGTATATTCCTTGTTGGTGTACCCTCCTGTTCTGACTTCCCAGAGTCCTTTTTGTCTCCATTGCAAATACTTCCTTAAATCACATGTTGAGCTCCCCACATACTTGGTCGTTTCTCAGCCTGATTACATGGTCCTTGACTGTTGTCTTCCAACTGATGTGGCTTTACAACAGCTTTAGGTTATACTTGACTTTCGATGCTATGTCGTTTTCGTACTGTTGCTTGGCGTCCCTCCAAGAAACGAGTATGCACAGATACTCGTTTTTTGCTCTTCAACTAATCTCTTTATATTCTTGGATCCTTTGTCTTCTGTACATTTTCCATTCTCTTGCATACTTAGTTTTTGCCTCCCTTCACCTTTGGGTAAACCAAGGGCTCGTTCTGGTCTTCCCATTATTTCTGTTGCCCTTGGGAACAAACCTTTCCTCTGCCTTCTTGCATTTTGTTGCCATGTAGTCCATCATTTCGTTTACTGATTTTCCTACCAGTTCTCTTTCCCACTGAACCTCCTACAGGAAGTTCCTCATGCCTGTGTAGTCCCCCCTTTTGCAGTTTGGCTTCTCCCATTCTACTCCTGTGACCCTTTCCACTTGTAACTCTACTATGTATTCAAAGCTCAAAACCATGTGATCACTAGCTCCGAGGGGCCTTTCATATGTAATGTTCTCGATGTCCAAACTACTCAGGGTGATTACAAGGTCCAGTCTTGCTGGTTCATCCTCATCTCTCTGTTTGGTAGTGTCCCTAACATGTTGATGCATGAGGTTTACCAGTACCACATCCATCAACTTGGCTCTCCATGTTTCAGGACTCCCATGTGGCTCCAGGTTTTCCCAATCAATCCCCTTGTGATTGAAATCGCCCATGACTAGCAGCTTTGCTCTACCTGTGTGAGCTCTTCTGGCTACCTCAGTTAGTGCATCCACCATTGCTCTGTTGCTCTCTTCATATTCTTCTCTTGGCTTCCTGCAGTTCTGTGGCGGGTTGTACATCACTGCAATGACTACCTTGTGTCCCCTAGACTGAATTGTACCTACTACATAGTCCATTTTGCCCACTTGGCCATTTCTTCCACTTCCTCAGATCCCCATCGGTTTTAAATGATCCATGCAACTCCTCCCCCTCTGCTCCCTTTAACTTTCCTCAGGATCTGATATCTGGGTGGGAAGAGTGCATCTGTTATCATCCCAGTTAGTTTTGTTTCTGTAAGTGCTATGATGTCTGGGGACATCTCCTTGATTCTATCATGCCACTCTTCACATTTATTTGTTATTCCATCTGCATTTGTGTACCAAACCTTGGGGGAGCAGGAGACCTGGCTGGAAACTATGGGGGGCTTCTGTGGGGTTGGAGTGTGTGATGAGGGAGTGTGGGGGCAGTGGGTACAGTGTGTGGGTGTTACGGTTCGAATCTTAATCTTTAGCCAAGTTAGTGCACTCCGTAACAATACACTTCATAGAATGAGAAGATATTTCCAAACTTAGAAATGTAAGGCACAAATAATAGTTACTCAGTCCTTTCTAGTTTCTTTTTATTTAAAAGCTTAAATAATTCTGAGATATTCACAAATATCTATTAAATATCACTTTGGTCAGAAACTTTCCTTCACACAAGAAAACTCTTAAATAGAATGTACATCACAGACCTCCTCTGGAGACTATGTCAATATGGTCACTACACTTGTTAATGATCAGAGGAATATTACTGCTTCCTCAATAGTAACATTACTTGTAAGCAAGTACATATATTGAGAATTAACACTTTCACTGAGTAACTCCCTGGCATAAGGAATATATCACAAAGTTCTAAGCTTGACACTGGTCGTCACATCGTAACCTGAAGGTAACAGTATATAATTGTCCGCAGACTTCACTTCACAATAAACCACAAGCTGGTTCAGGAGTTTCTACAACAGAATTCTCTATCCAAGTGAGAATAAGGCGGAGTACTGGACTGGAGGGTAGCTCAGTCAATGCACACTGAGTCGGCAGAGAGAGCGAACTGAATTAACACAGTTAATCCATACATGACATCAACTCGACAAAGGGAAGAGGGAATAGTAGGCTAAACTACCCTCCAAGGACATACCTTGTTTCAACTTCTAGCCAGCTGTTACCTACCTACCTAACATTACTCAAAATACGTAAATATATATATATATATATATATATATATATATATATATATATATATATATATATATATATATATATATATAATATATATATATATATATATATATTTATATATAAACACATCATACCTGAGTATATTCCTAAATCAGATAATATTATAAACTAGTGGAATCTTTAATTTAGCTAATATTAAAGAAACCCCGAGTATAATATTAAGTGGATAATACATAAATTAATTTCATTATGACCTAGGTCATAACAGTGGGTTTTGGGTTAGATTGTTTGGTTGCATTGGGGTTGTCATGGTTGAGGTCCTTCTGTAGGTGGTTCTGAGGAAGGTTGTATTTGTTCTTCCTCCTGAGTCTGTGTTCTTCTGCTCATCTCCATCTGTGCCTCTCTTTCCTCCTTGTGTCTTTGTACCCTCTCTTTCAGTTTCTGCCTTTCTGTTTGTGTTCTGTCGTGGTCGAGGTACACCCTTTGGTATGTCGGCATGACCCTTGGTCGTGCTTTCTCTTGCAGGATCCTGTTTCAATCTGTTTCTGCCTTGAAAATCACTTTGACTGGCTTTTTTTTTCCTCTCGCAAACTTCCCTATTCTCAGAAAATTTGTCAACTGGGTCATATTATCCTCTCCTATTGCTTTCATGATACTTTCAATTGCTTTTTTTCTCCTCCTGCCTTCTTGCTTTATAAGTTTCCCCTTCAACTTCCTGGTGCCCATAAACAAAAACTGACCTCTCCCTTTCATCCTCCCACTGCATTTCTCTTTGCATCCCCTTAGTCGATTTGGTTGCCTCCACTGCAGGATTTCTTCTTTCAATCTCTTTTCTGTCTGATGTCCCTGTGCTCTGTGGTCTGTCATTTGTTCTTCTCAGCCTTTCCTGGGGACTGCCGTGGTCTGTTTGGGCTTCTGCATATAGCTTGGCCCTTTCATTTTCTTCAGTCCCTTCCTTAGTTCCTGGTGTGTCATCATCTTTTCCTTGGCTCCACGGTGGTCTGATAGGACCTTATTCATACAGTTAAACTCCTTTGTTCCCTACAGTCCCCTCGTTTGTAACTGTTGTAGTAGTTTCTGATGTCATGCGAATATGGCTCTTTGGTTCTTTGGACTGTTTCAGCTTTTTTAGTTTCTCTTCTAAGCACTGTATCTTAGCTTCTGCTGCTGTGGCTTATAGCTCCCAATTTCCTGCTCTCTGCAGCTATCCTCTCTTCCATTTTCTTGCTAAGCTCTTCTAGCTTTCTTCCCCACTTTTCTTCCATTTTCATGAGCTCTGCCACCCAATCCTCCCTCCCAGGCTCATCCAACAGTCCCATGGTTCTCTGTCCTTCTGTTTGGCAACCCATTTTTTTATACCACAGAAAGAAAAAAAATTTTTTTTGTGTGGTCGTTTGTGATGTGTGTGTGTGTGTGTGTGTGTGTGTGTACTCACCTATTTGTACTCACCTATTTGTGGTTGCAGGGGTCGAGTCCTAGCTCCTGGCCCCGCCTCTTCACCGGTTGCTACTAGGCCCTCTCTCTCCCCGCTCCATGAGCTTTATCAAACCTCGTCTTAAAACTGTGTATGGTTCCTGCCTCCACTACGTCATTTTCTAGGCTATTCCACTGCCTTACAACTCTATGACTGAAGAAATACTTCCTACTATCTCTCTGACTCATTTGTGTCTTCAACTTCCAATTGTGGCCTCTTGTTTCTGTGTCCCCTCCCTGGAACATCCTGTCTTTGTCCACCTTGTCTATTCCACGCAGTATTTTATATGTCGTTATCATGTCTCCCCTGACCCTCCTGTCCTCCAGTGAGGTCAGGCCGATTTGTGTGTGTGTGTGTGTGTGTGTGTGTGTGTGTGTGTGTGTGTGTGTGTGTGTGTGTGTGTGTGTGTGTGTGTGTGTGTGTGTGTGTGTGTGTGTTTAAGAAGCAAGATAACCCAACATGTCATCCTGGTAACAGGCAACTCAGGCTGGTCAGCGGCTGAGTGTGTTGGTCGTGTTAGTGGACCAGAGTACTGGTAGCACTGTCCTCGAGTCCACGCTACTCTCACTTCAAGGTTAGTACTCTCCTCGAGTCCACGCTACTCTCACTTGAAGGTTAGTACTCTTCTAGAGTCCATGCTACTCCCACTTCAAGGTTAGTACTCTCCTAGAGTCCACACTAGCCCCACTTCAGGTTAGAACTCTACTAGAGTCCGCTGAGCACTACCTCAAGGTTAGTGCTCAGCGTTTAGTGATCAGTACTCAGCTCTAAGTACTCAAGACTCACTAGTAAACAGGTGACATGCGCAGATACTCGCAGATAGTTATAGATACTTGTAGATACCTGTAGATACTTATACTTATATATGCTTATAGATACTTGTAGATACTTAAAGATACTTGTAGATATTTGTAGATACTTACAGACACTTGTAGATTCTTGTAGGTACTTATAGATACTTGCATATACTTATAGATATTTGTAGATACTAATAGATACTTGTAGATATGGATACTTATAGATATTTGTAGATAATTATGGATACTTATAGATACTTGAAGATATGGATACTTATAGATACTTGAAGATATGGATACTTATAGATACTTATGAATACTTACAGATACTTCTAGATACTAATAGATAGTTGTTTGTACTTATAGATATTTGTAGATACTTGTAGATATTTATAGATACTTATAGATACTTGTAAATATTTATAGATGCTTGAAGATTCTTATAGATACTTGTAGATACTTATAGATACTTGCAGATGCTTGTAAATACTTATAGATACTTGTAGATACGTTTAGATACTTTTACTCGTAGGTACTTGTAGAGGTGATGGTCATCACAGAACGAGAAGTGTCGTAGTTCCTGGGACCGGCGGCCAGTCACCGGTGACCCGTTGTCTGCCCCGGAAATACTCCCGTCCCCCGGAGATACACTCGTCCCCCGGAGATACACCCGTCCCCCGGAGATACTCCCGTCCCCTGGAGATACTCCCGTCCCCTGGAGAACACCCGTCCCTCGTTAGATACTCTCGTCCCCCGGAGATACTCCCGTCCCTCGGAGATGCACCCGTCCCCCCGGAGATAGTCCGTCCTTTGGAGATCACCGTCCCCTGGAGATACACCCGTCCCATAGATACTCCGTCCCTCGGAGATACACCCGTTCCCGGGAAAAGAATACACCGTCAGACTGGAGATACACCCGTCCCCCGGGGATACTCCCGTCCCCTGGAGATACACCCGTCCCATGGATGGAGATACACCCGTCCCCTGGAGATACTCCCGTCCCCCGGAGATACATTCGTCCCCCGGAGATGCACCCGTCCCCCGGAGATACTCCCGTCCCCTGGAGATACTCCCGTCCCCTGGAGAACACCCGTCCCTCGTTAGATACTCTCGTCCCCCGGAGATACTCCCGTCCCCCGGAGATACTCCCGTCCCCCGGAGATGCACCCGTCCCCCAGAGATAGTTCCGTCCCCTGGAGATACACCCGTCCCTGGAGATACTCCCATCCCCGGAGATGCACCCGTCCCCCCAGAGATAGTTCCGTCCCCTGGAGATACACCCGTCCCCTGGAGATACTCCCATCCCCTGGAGATGCACCCGTCCCCCGGTGAGATGCACCCGTCCCCCCCCAGAGATATTCCGTCCCCTGGAGATACACCCGTCCCCTGGAGATACTCCTGTCCCCTGGAGATACACCCGTCCCCTGGAGAAACACCCTCCCCTTGAGATACTCCAGTCCCCCGGAGATACACCCGTCCCCTGGAGATACACCCGTCCCCAGGAGATACTCCCGTCCCCTGGAGATACACCCGTCCCCTGGAGATACACCCGTCCCCCGGAGATACTCCCGTCCCCTAGAGATACACCCGTCCTCTGGAGATACACCCGTCCCCTGGAGACACTACCATCCCCCGGAGATACTCCCGTCCCACAGAGATACACCCGTCCCCCGGAGACACTACCGTCCCCCGGAGATACTCCCGTCCCCCAGAGATACACCCGGCCCCCGGAGATACTCCCGTACCCCGGAGATACTCCCGTACCCCGGAGATAGTCCCGTCCCCATGAGATACTCCCGTCCCCCGGAGTTACAGTGTACATAAAATACCGTCACGAGACATATACCGTCACGAGACATATACCGTCACGAGACATACCGTCACGAGACATATACCGTCACGAGACATATACCGTCACGAGACATACCGTCACGAGACATACCGTCACGAGACAAACCGTCACGAGACATACCGTCACGAGACATATACCGTCACGAGACATACCGTCACGAGACATATACCGTCACGAGACATACCGTCACGAGACATATACCGTCACAAGACATACCGTCACGAGACATATACCGTCACGAGACATACCGTCACGAGACATATACAGTCACGAGACATATACCGTCACGAGACATACCGTCACGAGACATACCGTCACGAGACATATACCGTCACGAGACATATACCATCACGAGACATACCGTCACGAGACATATACCGTCACGAGACATACCGTCACGAGACATATACCGTCACGAGACATATACCGTCACGAGACATATACCGTCACGAGACATACCGTCACGAGACATATACCGTCACGAGACATACCGTCACGAGACATACCGTCACGAGACATATACCGTCACGAGACATATACCGTCACGAGACATACCGTCACGAGACATATACTGTCACGAGACATATACCGTCACGAGACATACCGTCACGAGACATATACCGTCACGAGACATATCCGTCACGAGACATACCGTCACGAGACATATACCGTCACGAGACATATACCGTCACGAGACATACCGTCACGAGACATATACTGTCACGAGACATATACCGTCACGAGACATACCGTCACGAGACATATACCGTCACGAGACATATACCGTCACGAGACATACCGTCACGAGACATATACCGTCACGAGACATATACCGTCACGAGACATACCGTCACGAAACATATACTGTCACGAGACATATACCGTCACGAGACATATACCGTCACGAGACATATACCGTCACTAGACATACCGTCACGAGACATATACCGTCACGAGACATATACCGTCACGAGACATACCGTCACGAGACATATACTGTCACGAGACATATACCGTCACGAGACATATACCGTCACGAGACATATACCGTCACGAGACATACCGTCACGAGACATATACCGTCACGAGACATATACCGTCACGAGACATATACCGTCACGAGACATATACTGTCACGAGACATATACCGTCACGAGACATATACCGTCACGAGACATATACCGTCACGAGACATACCGTCACGAGACATATACTGTCACGAGACATATACCGTCACGAGAATATACCGTCACGAGACATATACTGTCACGAGACATATACCGTCACGAGACATATACCGTCACGAGACATATACCGTCACGAGACATACCGTCACGAGACATATACTGTCACGAGACATATACCGTCACGAGACATATACCGTCACGAGACATATACCGTCACGAGACATACCGTCACGAGACATATACCGTCACGAGACATATACCGTCACGAGACATATACCGTCACGAGACATACCGTCACGAGACATACCGTCACGAGACATATACCGTCACGAGACATACCGTCACGAGACATATACCGTCACGAGACATACCGTCACGAGACATATACCGTCACGAGACATACCGTCACGAGACATATACCGTCACGAGACATATACTGCTACATAAAGCTACAAGTCAACCCTGAAACCACCAAATATTAACACAGTAAACATTTGAAATTAAAATGAAAAGAATGGAAGTGACCTCACAAATACTTTTACTCGTAGATACTTATAGATACTTGTAGATACCTATAGATGCTTGCAAATACTTTTAGATCCTTTTATATACTTATAAATACTTGTAGATAATTATGGATACTCGCAGATACTTGTGGATACTTGTCTTCCATCGAGGCAGGGTGACCCAAAAAGAAAGAAAATCCCCAAAAAGAAAATACTTTCATCATCATTCAACACTTTCACCTCACTCACACATAATCACTGTCTTTGCAGAGGCGCTCAGAATACAACAGTTTAGAAGTATATACGTATAAAGATACACAACATATCCCTCCAAACTGCCAATATCCCAAACCCCTCCTTTAAAGTGCAGCATTGTACTTCCCATTTCCAGGACTCAAGTCCGGCTATATAAAAATAACCGGTTTCCCTGAATCCCTTCACTAAATATTACCCTGCTCACACTCCAACAGATCGTCAGGTTCCAAATACGATTCATCTCCATTCACTCCTAACACGCTCACGCACACTTGCTGGAAGTCCAAGCCCCTCACCCACAAAACTTCCTTTACTCCCTCCCTCCAACCTTTTCAAGGACGACTCCTACCCCGCCTTCCTTTCTCTACAGATTTATACACTCTCCATGTCATTCTACTTTGATCCAACCTCTCTAAATGACCAAACCACCTCAACAACCCCTCTTCTTCCCTCTGACTAATACTTTTATTAACTCCACACCTTCTCCTAATTTCCACACTCTGAATTTCCTGCATAATATTTACACCACACATTGCCCTTAGACAGGACATCTCCACTGCCTCCAAACGTCTCTTCGCTGCAACATTTACAACCCAAGCTTCACACCCTTTTAAGAGTGTTGGTACCACTATACTTTCATATATTCCCTTCTTTGCCACCATAGATAAATTTTTTTTGTCTCTACAGATACCTCAACGCACCACTCACCTTTTTTCCTTCATCAATTCTATGATTAACCTCATCCTTCATAAATCCATCCGCCGACACGTCAACTCCCAAGTATCTGAAAACATTCACTTCTTCCATACTCCTCCTCCCCAATTTGATATCCAATTTTTCTTTATCTAAATCATTTGATACCCTCATCACCTTACTCTTTTCTATGTTCACTTTCAACTTTCTACCTTTACACACATTCTCAAACTCATCCACTAACCTTTGCAATTTTTCTTTAAAATCTCCCATAAGCACAGTATCATCAGCAAAAAGTAACTGTGTCACTTCCCATTTTGTATTTAATTTCCCATAATTTAATCCCACCCCTCTCCCGAACACCCTAGCATTTACTTCTTTTACAACCCCATCTATAAATATATTAAACAACCATGGTGACATTACACATCCCTGTCTAAGACCTACTTTTACCGGGAAGTATTCTCCCTCTCTTCTACACACCCTAACCTGAGCCTCACTATCCTCATAAAAACTCTTTACAGCATTTAGTAACTTACTACCTATTCCATATACTTGCAACATCTGCCACATTGCTCCCCTATCCACTCTATCATATGCCTTTTCTAAATCCATAAAAGCAATAAAAACTTCCCTGCCTTTATCTAAATACTGTTCACATATATGCTTCAATGTAAACACTTGATCTACACATCCCCTACCCACTCTAAAACCTCCTTGCTCATCTACAATCCTACATTCTGTCTTGCCTCTTATTCCTTCAATAATAACCCTACCATACACTTTTCCTGGTATACTCAGTAAACTTATTCCTCTATAATTTTTATAGTCTCTTTTGTCCCCTTTCCCTTTATATAAAGAAACTATACATGCTCTCTGCCAATCCCTAGGTACCTTCCCCTCTTTCATACATTTATTAAATAAAAATGCCAACCACTTTAACACTATATCCCCCCTGCTTTTAACATTTCTGTCATGATCCCATCAGTTCCAGCTGCTTTACCCCCTTTCATTCTACGTAATGCCTCACGCACCTCCCCCACACTCACATCCTGTTCTTCTTCACTCCTAAAAGATGTTATACCTCCCTGGGCAGTGCATGAAATTACCGCCTCTTTTTCTTCGTCGACATTTAAAAGTTCCTCAAAATATTCTCGCCATGTACCCAATACCTCCATCTCCCCATCTACTAACTCCCCTTCTCTGTTTTAACTGACAAATCCATTCGTTCCCTAGGCTTTCTTAATTTCTTTAACTCCAATTTTTTTTTTTTTTCATTAAAATTTCTTGACAGGGCCTCTCCCACTCTTATTTGCTCTCCTTTTACACTCTCTCACCACTCTCTTCACCTTTCTTTTACTCTCCATATACTCTGCTCTTCTTATAACACTTCTGCTTTGTAAAAACCTCTCATAAGCTAACTTTTTCTCTTTTATCACACCTCTTACTTCATCATTCCACCAATCACTCCTCTTTCCTCCTGCACCCACCCTCCTATAACCACAAACTTCTGCCCCACATTCTGATACTGCATTTTTAAAACTATTCCAATCCTCTTCAACCCACCCCCCCCACTACTCATACTGGCACCAGCCCACCTTTCTGCCAATAGTTGCTTATATCTCACCCGAACATATATATATCGTCAACAGTGCCAGACGAAAGCAGCAAGACACCAGCCTGGGTTATCGTTGTCTCGGTACTTGGTTCGGTCTTCGGTGCGGCCCTTATTGTATTCATCGCTGCCGTCGTTTAGTAAGTATCTGCCTGGATGACTGTCTCTCTGCTGTAATGGCTGTCAGTCTGCTGTGATGGCTGTCGGCCTCCTGTGATGGCTGTCCGCCTGCTGTGATGGCTGTCAGCCTCCTGTGACGGCTGTCGGCCTCCTGTGATGGCTGTCGGCCTCCTATGATGGCTGTCGGCCTCCTGTGATGGCTGTCGGCCTGCTGGGATGGCTGTCGGCCTCCTGTGATGGCTGTCCGCCTGCTGTGATGGCTGTCAGCCTCCTGTGACGGCTGTCGGCCTCCTGTGATGGCTGTCGGCCTCCTGTGATGGCTGTCAGCCTCCTGTGATGGCTGTCAGCCTCCTGGGATGGCTGTCGGCCTGCTATCTAGCAGATTCTACACATCAGTAACACAGTACTCTCAACCCATTATTGAAATCTGAAAAAAAAAAACTCCCTGGAAAAACACAACATAATATTAAATCTGTATTTATGTGTTAAAAAAAATAATGAATATATCTGGTATTCACGATTTACATTATGTCACTTTTTTCACGATTTCCAACATGCATATGTTGGACACATATTTGGAACACACTTATTTAGGAAATGCATGTTTCCAGCTGACGCATTCGTGTTATTGTTATATGTTTTTTTTAAGTAGGAAGCGTATTTAAGAATACTTTTCTGGCGACAGTAAGAAGCAGCAGGTGCGGAAGGCAGGTGGTGGAGGTGGGACGCAGATGACAGGTGGTGGAGGTGGGACGCAGATGACAGGTGGTGGAGGTGGGTCGTTGCAGGGGTCTGCCCACTCAACCCCCATACAGAGAACAGCCCATGATCCGTACAGTGCAGCCCACTACAGCCCCCAGCGCATTCCACCGCCCCGTGACCTGTACATAGATACTAGCTTCAGCCCCAGGAGAGACGTTCACGATCTTTACAATGACGGGAGGTACAGTCCTGGGCACTCCAGTCACTCCAGCTACCAACATGCCCAGTCTTCTGTGGAACCGGTGGGTATTATACTCTTTTGTGCCCTGCTATTTTTTATCTTTTCTCTGTCTCTCGTGTGGGAGACAGAAAATAGAAGAGAGATAACCGCAAAACAGCCACCTTGACTATTTTTCAATTCGATTCAAAGTTTATTCTCTATAAGGATTACAATGCTGAGTTTACAGAAATTTGGTTATTGTGTGGTTTACATGTAGTAAAATTGTGATTACAGAGTGTACCACTAGAACGCTTAGCATGGCTAGGCATTTCGGGCAGACTTAGTTTTATTCTTAATTGTAAAATATTACAAATTATGAGGTAAGTTGGTATTATGGCTAAGTGACTAAATACTAGTTTGTGAGTTTAGCAATGTGAATGCTTTTGTTTTGGCACAGTACATAGTTTCAGTATTGGAGTATCACAGGATTCATTATTTTAAGATTGAGATTAATATTTCTGTTTATGGTCAAATGAGTGAGTGAGTGTGTGAACCACCAGGTGGTATTCGTGTAGTTAGTTGACGGGGTGTATCAGGGAGATAAGATGTTTTCTAATGGTAGTTTTGAAGGTGATGAATGTGTCTGCAGTTCTAGAGTTCTCAGGTAGGGTATTCCAGATTTTAGGGCCTTTGACATACATTGAATTTTTGTAAAGGTTTAGCCGGACACAGGGAATGTCGTAGAGATGTTTGTATCTGGTGTTATGCCTGTGGGTTCTGTCACAACTATCAAGAAAGCGGTTTAGGTCAAGGTTGATATTAGAGTTTAAGGCCCTGTAGATGTAGATTGCACAGTAGTAAGTGTGGATGTACTGAACAGGGAGTAAGTTTAGGTCTATGAAGAGTGGGGGGGTGTGTTGCCAGGGATGGGATTTAGTGATTATTCTTACTGCAGCTTTTTGTTGGGTTATTATTGGCTTTAGGTGTGTTGCTGCAGTTGATCCCCAAGCACAAATAGCATAGGTGAGGTATGGATAAATGAGTGGTATAGTGTGAGAAGGGCATTTTGCGGCACGTAGTATCGTATCTTGGAGAGGATCCCAACCGTTTTGGATACTTTTTTGATTATATGCTGGATATGGGTGCTGAAATTTAGGTTGTTGTCAAGGTATAAGCCTAGGATTTGCCCCCATTATTTCTGGTAATTAGAGTGTTGTTAATCTTAATGTTAATTTGTGCATCTCCTGCTCTGCTACCAAACATAATATAGTAGGTTTTGTCAGTGTTAAGCGTAAGTTTATTGGCTGTCATCCAAGTCGATATTTTAATCAGCTCCTCATTCACAATGGTGTTGAGGGTGGCAAGATTAGGGTGAGAGATGACTAAGGTCGTGTCATCAGCAAAGGAATGGGTTTCAGGTGTTGGGATTACGTTTGGAAAAGGTCTTGATGTATATGAGGAAAGCAAGGGCCAAGGACACTTCCCTGCGGAATCAGTATCAAGTGGCCGTGTTTGCTGATTGCGTGTCTTTAATGTGACGTACTGATACCTTTTAATTAAGTTGAAATAAGCAAGCGCTGGCCTCTACCGTAGACCCATTTGTGGCGTAGGGATCGTGGTCTACTTGTCAAAAGCTTTTCTTAGGTCAAAAAAAATTTCCCTATTGGATATTCCTTATTTTCCAATGCTGTGTAAAGCAGATCTAGCATTTTTATGATTGCACATTATGCTTTTATTTTTCCTAAATTTCCAAATTGGCAGGGTTGAGTATGTTTTTGACCCATTATAAATGAATACAGTCTCCTGTGCACGAGATTCTCAAAGATTTTGGATAGCAATGGTAGTTAGATTTTGGGGCCTTTATAGTTGTTTAAGTCTGTAGGGTCACCACTTTATGTATTGGTGTAACCCTTGCCATCTTGAGTAGTTTCGGGAAGGTGCTAGTCTCTAGTGACTTGTTAAAAAGTAATGAAATAGCATGCAAAAGGACATGGGCCCCTCACTTGTACAGTAATGGTGGGACATGAGACAGATTCCCGAGTTTTTTTTTAAGTGACTTTTTTATCTCAGTGACTTCCGTGGGCTCAGTTGGTGCAAGATAGAAGGAATTAGGGAAATTCCCCATCTAGGTGGGTCCCCGGCAGGGGCATTGGTATGTGGGATTTTACTGGCGAGATTAGATCCTATGGTTGAGAAGAAGTCGTTTATCTTTTTAGCTGTGTCAGTGGGATGTATGGGTGTTTCATTAGGTTTAGTTAGGACAATTTCTTGGTTTTTCTCAGTTTGTGGGTCCCTAAATCTGAGAGAGGTGTTTTCCAGGTCTTTTTTATATCTCCTCTAGTGTCTGTGAATTTGTGGAGTAGTATAGTTGTTTGGTTTTTCTTTATTACTTTGGTGAGAGCTGATGAATAGTGTTTAAGAATTCTTTGTGTATTAAGCCCTGTCATATTGTTTTCAATATTGGTGTTTCTTGTCAATGGATTTCAGAATGGTGCTGGTTAGCCATGGGCAACCAAGCCGTTTGTTTGTGATCTGTTTTGTTTTATAGGACAATGTTTGTTGTATAGTCTAATTTAATTTTAAGAAAAATGTCTGTCCAGTCATCAATCCATTGGCCTTGGAGAATTCTGTAGGCCAATCAACAGTTCTAGGTCAGCTGTGAACTTCCTACTGAGGCCTCGTCATGGAGTCTAAATGAGACTTTGTTGTATTCAAGTGGTGGTTTACTAATGTTTGTCAGGAGGAAGGTAGGGTAGTGGTCTGTAGTGCTATCTGTGATTCCCTGATTTAAGGGGGGCTAGTATATTGGTCCATATGTGGTCTATTAGGGTTTGCACTTGTCTCAGTGAGCCTGGTTGGTTTGTTATTGTTGGTATGAGAAGTTTTGTTGTTCATATTGTTGATGAAATCAGTTACAGGCTGTTTCATCTAGTAACCCAAAGGGTTTGATGTTGAAGTCTCCAGCTAAGAGAAGGTGGTGCTTATTCATTTGTCTGTTTGTTATTATTGACTTTAATTTTCCCCTGAAATTTGGGATGTTTGTGTGAGGTATCCGGTAAATGGCATGATTGTTATAGGCGTCTTAAGGTTTTTTACAGTAAAAATTAGAAAAAATGTATTCCCCATATTCATCCTAAAGCAAGTGGTGCTAAAAACAAGAAAATTTGGTTAGAGTAATAGATTGCAATACCACCCCCAATTTGGGTTGGTTGCAGTTGTGAATTGCTGTGTATCCTGGTGAGGGTAAATATCTATTGTGTCCTGCTTAAGCCAGGTCTCAGTAAGAATAATGCAGGAGAAGGGTGCTTAGTGATTCAAGGAGTGCCAGGAGGTCATCATAGTGTTTGTTAAGGACCTGATGTTGTAGTTAAGTACTGATAGCTTTATCATTGTTTAGGATAGGGTGGCTTGTGATGCTGTGTAATAAAGGCAGTTACTTTCCAATAGGTTTTGATTGTGTGTCAGATTATGTAGGTTTAGTTTCAGGGTCAACGTGATCAATCATCTTCTAGGTTTAAATTAGGTTATTTATATCCTGAGTTGTGTGTTGAGTTCTAGTATGATATCTGTAGTGGTGGGAAGTTTGGACAAGTTATAGCTAGAGTATTTTGGTCATTTTGAGTATAGTCACTACTACACTAATGAAGTTGATGTTGTCTGTGTGTTGTGCTGGAATGAACTAAAGTACAACTAGGTTAAAACTAGTAATATAAAAATACAAATTACAAATAGAACAAGACTCTCACTTGTAATTGCACTAAGGTCTAATAATGATTTTGTGGAGTCTATGTTTTGAGCTAGAGTGAGCTAAAAGTACAGTAGGTTTAATCTAATAATATAAAAGTACAAATTAAAAATAGCACTAGTCTCTCACTAGTAATTACACTATGGTTAGTATAGTGAATTTGGTATTGACTATGTATTGAGGCTAGAATGAGCTAGAGTAAAACTGTGTTAATCTAATAATATAATAAAGGAACAAGACTCTCAATTGTAATTGCACAAAGGGTTTCTTAATAAGTTGTTTACAAAAATTTAAAAGTATAATTAGATTTAAATTGACAGGATAAATTACAAAAATTTAAAAGGTAGCAAAAGAATAATAAAAAAAATGATAAAAAAAAATGGCAAGGGAACTTGGTTAAATATGCTAGTAGTGGTAGACAGGAAAATATAAAAGTTGTAGTTGAAAATACTAGTTTAAAAAAGTATGGAATAAAAATGGTCAATAAAAAGTTTACAATAATTTTGATCAATATAGCTTAAAGTAAAATTTGGGCAATAATAGGGATTTAGAATAAAATTGGGAAATTTGAGTATTTTTTAAAGTGGGGTAGAATTATTGAAGACAAGTTATGGTTAGTTTATAAAAAAATAAGATGGAACAGTGATGTGGTAAGTTGTAAAAAAGGAGTTAGATTCTGTAGATATTAAACACAATTAAGACTATGAGGTAGAATGGTCGTTGAGTACAACAATGACAATAAAAAGTTGTTGGGGTATTAGAATTTTAGGGGGGCACAAATTTATGACATATAACACTAACGGTGGACTATGGGTATTATCTGCACTTTACTCTGATTCTGTTAGTCCAGCCTCACTTAGGAATGTTTTAAGGTCATGTTTGTGGAGATGAAGTATCTTTTCCCCAGTGGGCGTTTCCTAACTCATATTTTTCCATCCCTCACAAAGCACTGGTGGATTTTTTGGGCATAGCGCAATTTTCTTAGCCGAATAAAGAAGGTTTTGTCTTTTTTTGGTAAGGCACTCTTTGGGACGAAAAACATCAGTTTTCATAGAAATAGATGTTTTTAGTAGGTTGTTTCTTTGTAAGCTAGTTTGGAATTTTAACAGCACTGTTTTTTACCTGCTTGGTACCCCATCAGTTTGCAATCCTTTGGGGTCGTCACTAGGTATGTTAAGGCAAAGGTGGTCCTTGATAAGCTGTGGGTGGTCTCCATGCAGGTTTCTTGGGTGATGTGGTGGGAGTGTTTGCTGTTAACAAACCAACAGCGTCAGATAGCTGCTGTTGGTCATTATGGTCTTGGAAAGTTGGGTTTTATGACTTTGGCAAGTTGTTGGTCCACTCTTGATCTTTCTTCTGTAATGTTGGTAGTAAGTAGGGTGACTTGGTCTTTTAGGTGTTGATAGTGTCTAGGGACGGGTGTGGGTGTTGCTTTGTTGTTCTAGAGTGTCTAGTTTATGTTCTAGAGCATGATCTTGTTGAGGTAATCTGCATTGCTAGCCTTTAGTTCCTGCATTTCTTGAGTTAGTTTTTGGGGATCGTTTTGGGTTTTGAATCATAAGGAGTTTAGCTATTTCTGGGTCGGTGATCTTGACATCAAATACTGGGAAGGGAGTTATCTTGGACTGTAGCGGCGGCCATGTTTGTTGTTTGTCTGTCGTGTGTTGTGGTGGTTTCCCGGGGGGTGATGAGGGTTGTGTCCTGGCTGGCAGTACCACAAGTTTTCCTCGTGTTATTTCTGCTCTCACCCTTTTATGTTAGGAGTCCTTAGCTGGTTACTGGATCTTCTTTTATTGTTCTGACCCTTGTCCATTGGCTGTGGCTTCGGGTGAATAGTAGGCGATGGGTGATGGGTGAATGTTGTGGAGTATCACTTCAGTGGCAGCGGGGTAGGAGTTGCTAGTACGAGTCCTATTAGTTGGTAAATTTGTGAACTTTTGGGTGATTTCTGCAGTTGCTTTATATCATTCTGGGTATCCACACATGTTAGTGTTATGCGGGTCTTGATTAGGTCATCACTGGGCTGCTGGGAACCTCAGGTAGAAGTAAAAATAGAGGACAAGGTTCCTGTTGCCGCTGCCGCTGCCACAACACAAGACACATTGGGGCTATCCCAGGTAATTTACACGTATGTTACTACCTGGAGGGTGTTACGGGGGTCAACGCCCCCGCGACTCGGTCCTTGACCAGGCCTCCTGGCGGATCAGGCCCCGATCAGCTAGGCTGTTACTGCTGGCCGCACGTAGTCCAACGTACGAACCACAGCCTGGCTGTTCAGGTACTGACTTTAGGTATCTGCCCAGCTCCCTCTTGAAGGCAGTCAGGGGTTTATTGGTACTTGCGGGTATGTTGGGCGGGTATGTTGGGTGGGTATGTTAGGTGGGTACGTTGGGTGGGAGGCTGTGGAACAGTCTTGGGTCCCGGACACTATGTATGATAATTATACTTATATGTACCTGTACCTGAATAAGCTAACTAGTCGCCAGTAACCTCAGAACGCCTCATCCGATCGGCTTCAAATTGTCCCCAGCTTTGGTGTGCTGTAACGAACGACTGTCGGTAGATAAATTGAATAATTGGACCACAGGGTTCGAATCCCCCGGGTCACTTCTCCTGACAAATAAACAAGTGTTCGTTTGTAACGTGAAGTGGGTTTTTTTCGTGTTCTTGTTCAAACAAGTTGTCTCTGCTAGCTGGGCCCGTGGCCTGGTAGGTAACCACGAACACACTAAGTGTCCGTGGTTCAATTCCCGGTGGAACATTGGGTGTGTTTCCTTACACCTTTCGTCCTGTTCACCTAGCAGTAATCAGGTACATGGGTGTTAGTCGACTGGTGTGGGTCGCATCCTGGGGGACAAGATTGAAGGACTGCAATGGAAATAAGACAGACAGTCCTGGATGAAGCACTAACTCTCTTGGGTTATCCTGGGTGGCTAACCCTCGAGATTAAATATACGAACAAAATCTTATCTTATGTTATCTCACCAGGTGGTCAGTTACATCCCCAAGGCGAGCTTGAAACCACGAGGGACGTCGTCACGGTTCGACTCCCCACAGTCCTCGGTAAGACCACCACCACCACCTTCCTTCACTTCCACAGATAATCTCTCTGCTCCAAAAAGATAATTAGAATAACCATTAATTTTTAAAGGGGTGGACAGGTAAGCCAGTAGAAGGCCTCGGTCAGATGACCAAAAGCTCCAGCTGCGGGTCATCATAAGACTAAGACCCGCGTCAGGAAACACTTGTCTTGTTTCCTGACAAACCTTACCTTACCTAACCTACCTGCTCCAGGGGCTCTTCATCCCAGGAGGTGGAGCTATTACCTTCTATTTCCTCGGATCATATTTCTCAGTCATTGTTTAAATCCTGTAAGTTTAGCGGATTTAATAATAATAGTAATAAATAATAATAATAATAATAATAATAATAATAATAATAATAATAATAATAATATAATAATAATAATAATAATATTAATAATAATAAATAATAATAATAAAAAAATTATTATTATTATTATTTTTTATTATTATTATTATTTTTTATTATTATTATTATTATTAATAATAATAACTGGACATCATTGTTTTCAGAGGCATAGCGACAGAAGCAGATACTGAGGATTCTGAAGACTTGTGATTCCTTATCATACACCTTACGGGGCTTTTAGACAACACCTGGAGCTTCCAAACACCCTCTGACGCCTCCAAACACCAACTGAAACTTCCAAACACCACCTGTAATGTCTCTAAACACCATCTGGAGTTTCCAAACACCACTTGGAGTTTCCAGTCACTGAAGACTTCAGAAACAATAAAAATATTATAAACATAGTCTGAAGGTTCCAATCACCGTGTGAAGGTTCTGGTATCAACAAGAGGGTTTAGAAACTGTCTCAACCAGTGGCTCACAACCTTTTTTTTTTTTTTTTTTTTGCGTCATGTCACACCTCGATACCACAAAAAAAAATGTGTCCACTGATATAAAAGCAAATTTGGGGTGTTAAAAAGGCATAATAGTATAAACCTTGGTAATTAATACCGACAAATTGGTTTAATTTGTGTCACTTCTCACTCTCCGCCTATATATAATGTCACATTAATCTGGGTGTGTTAGAAGTGATCAAGTTCCCAGGACAGAGACGTTTTCTAATAAATATATTCTATTGTTTGCTTACCTGTTTTTTTTAAACCAAAATGCATAATATTTTCCAGAGATGCAGTACAGCAAAATTATTTTTTTTAGTAACTTACCAAGCTCAAGTTTAGGTTCATCAACTTTGAAAATCTTAAGTTAGTGAGATCCTTGAACTTAGGGGTACAGTTGTTAATTGGGTATATTCATAACCATGACTTTTGTTGAGATGGGCGGGTAAGCCAGTGGAAGGACTCGAACATATGGCCAGAAGCTCCAGCTGTGTGTAGTCATATTACTAAGACCCGCGTCAAGAAGCACTTGTAATATTCCCTGACAAACATTATACCCTCACCTTGATGCTTGATGTATATGCTCTTGATATCACTCACTAAATTAAGTCTCAAGTTTCTCCGTTATTGACATCAAGTCGGGAATGGTAAGAGTAGATGGTAATGGTAAGAGTAGATGGTAATGGTAACAGTAGATGGTAATGGTAACAGTAGATGGTAATGGTAACAGTAGATGGTAATGGTAAGAGTAGATGGTAATGGTAACAGTAGATGGTAATGGTAACAGTAGATGGTAATGGTAACAGTAGATGGTAATGGTAACAGTAGATGGTAATGGTAAGAGTAGATGGTAATGGTAACAGTAGATGGTAATGGTAACAGTAGATGGTAATGGTAACAGTAGATGGTAATGGTAAGAGTAGATGGTAATGGTAACAGTAGATGGTAATGGTAACAGTAGATGGTAATGGTAACAGTAGATGGTAATGGTAACAGTAGATGGTAATGGTAACAGTAGATGGTAATGGTAACAGTAGATGGTAATGGTAACAGTAGATGGTAAAAGGTAAACAGTAGATGGTAATGGTAACAGTAGATGGTAATGGTAACAGTAGATGGTAATGGTAACAGTAGATGGTAATGGTAACAGTAGATGGTAATGGTAACAGTAGATGGTAATGGTAACAGTAGATGGTAATGGCAACAGTAGATGGTAATAATAACAGTAGATGGTAATGGTAACAGTAGATGGTAATGGTAACAGTAGATGGTAATGGTAACAGTAGATGGTAATGGTAACAGTAGATGGTAATGGTAACAGTAGATTGTAATAGAAACAGTGGATGGTAATGGTAACAGTAAATGGTAATGGTAACAGTAGATGGAAGTCTAAGAAATAAGATAGATGAGCTAAGATTACTTGCAAGTGCAAGTAATATAGATATTATTGGTATAACAGAGACCCGGTTCAACCTGAAAGATAGAGAAATGCTTTCTGAATGCAACATACAGGGTTATAAACTATTCCACACCGATAAGGTCAACAGGAAGGGTGGTGGTGTGGCGATGTATGCCAGAGAAAATTTAAATTGTCTTAGACATGATATAGGATTAGAAACATCGAACACAGAATCTGTTTGGCTACAGTTTCTCGAGGGTCGTGACAAATTAATTTTGGGTGTGGTTTATAGGCCCCTAAACCTTGATAGGGAGTGCAGTAAGCTGTTATGGGATGAAATTCATAAGGCATTTAAATATGAAAATGTTGTGTTAATGGGAGATTTTAACTTTAGACAAATTGATTTGAACAATATGACAGGAAATCTTGAGTCTAGTGACTTTCTTGATACGGTTCAAGATTGCTTTTTAAAACAGTTTGTGGCAGAACCAACTAGAGGAAACAATCTGCTTGACTTGGTTCTTGCCAACAAAGATTCACTAATTAATAATCTTGAGGTTAATGATGAGCTTGGGGAAAGTGATCACAAATCACTTAGTTTCAATATATCATGGAATTACCCAGATAACTTCAATCAAATCTCTGTCCCAGATTTTCGCTTGGCCAACTTCATGGGACTGAAAAATTACCTGGGTGGGCTAAATTGGAATGTCCTGATTATGGGTCAGGTAAGTGATCTTGGTTGCCAATATGACGTTTTTCAGAGCATAGTTCTAGCTACCCAGACAACTTTTGTTCCAAGTAGGGAAATTAGATTAACAAAAATGATCCCAAATGGATGAACAATAGATTAAAACATCTCATTGGTCAAAAGAGAGGCATATATAGGCGTATCAAAAGAGGGGATGGGCAGTTAAGAAATCAATATATTCAACTAAAGAGAAATAAAGAAAGGAATAAGAAAAGCAAAAAGGGATTATGAGGCTAAGGCCGCAAGGGATTCAAAGACTAACCCAAAAGGGCTCTTCCAGGTATACAGAAGTAAGATTAGGGACAAGATTGGCCCACTTAAGAGTAACTCTGGTCAGATCACTGACAGTGATAAGGATATGTGTGAAATTCTCAATACCTACTTCCTCTCAGTTTTCACCCAGGAAAATACTAGCGATATTCCTGAAATAATAGATTATGTAGAACAGGATAATAAACTATGTACGATTGCGGTAACTAGTGACATGGTCCTCAGATAGAGAAACTAAAACCTAACAAATCCCCAGGTCCTGATGAATTGTTTGCAAGGGTGTTAAAGGAATGTAAAGAGGAACTTAGCGTACCTTTGGCTAATCTTTTTAACATATCACTACAAACTGGCATAGTGCCTGATAAGTGGAAAATGGCAAATGTAACACCTATTTACAAGGCAGGTGACAGGTCCTTGGCTTCGAATTATAGACCAATAAGCCTTACCTCCACAGTGGGAAAATTTATGGAATCAATAATTGCCAAAGCAATTCGTAGCCATCTTGATAGGCACAGATTGATTAATGAATCTCAACACGGTTTTACAAAGGGGCATTCCTGTCTTACGAATTTACTAACTTTTTTCACTAAGGTGTTTGAGGAGGTAGATCATGGTAATGAATATGATATTGTGTATATGGACTTCAGTAAGGCTTTCGATAGAGTTCCACATCAGAGGCTATTGAGGAAACTTAAGGTACACGGAATAGGAGAAATTTTTTCCTGGGTAGAGGCATGGTTGACAAATAGGCAGCAGAGAGTTTGCATAAATGGGGCGAAATCAGAATGGGAGCACGTCACAAGCAGTGTTTCTCAGGGGTCAGTGTTGGGCCCCTTGTTGTTCACAATTTACATAAACGACATAGATGAGGGAATAAATAGCGACATAAGCAAATTCGCTGATGACACCAAAATAGGCCGTCCAATTCATTCTAATGAGGACACTAGAACACTCCAGGATAATTTGAATAGACTGATGCAATGGTCGGAGAAGTGGCAGATGCAGTTTAATATTGACAAATGCAAAGTTCTAAATGTTGGACAGTTAAATAACCATGCCACATATAAACTAAATAATGTAGATCTTAATACTACTGATTGCGAAAAGGATTCAGGAGTTCTGGTTAGCAGTAATCTAAAACCAAAACAACAGTGCATTAGTGTTCGCAATAAAGCTAACAGAATTCTTGGCTTCATATCTAGAAGCATAAATAATAGAAGTCCTCAGGTTGTTCTTCAACTCTATATATCCTTGGTTAGGCCTCTTTTTAGACTATGCTGCTCAGTTCTGGTCACCGTATTACAGAATGGATAAAAAATGCTTGGAAAACGTACAGAGGAGGATGACAAAGATGATCCCATGTATCAGAAATCTTCCCTATGAGGTTAGACTGAGGGCCCTGAATCTGCACTCTCTCGAAAGGCGTAGAATTAGGGTGGATATGATCGAGGTGTATAAATGGAAAACAGGAATAAATAAAGGGGATGTAAATAGCGTGCTGAAATTTTCCAGCCAAGACAGGACTCGCAGCAATGGTTTCAAGTTGGAAAAATTCAGATTCAGGAAGGATATAGGAAAGCACTGGTTTGGTAATAGAGTCGTGGATTAGAGGAACAAAGTCCTGAGTACAGTTATTCAGGCTAAAACGTTGTGTAGTTTTAAAAATAGGTTAGATAAATACAAAAGTGGGTGTGGGTGGGTGTGTGTTGGACCTGACTAGCTTGTGCTGCTGGGTCTGGTGCCGTGCTCCATCCTTGAATGAAGGTGACCAGACTGGGTTGGTCATTTGCCTAATCCTGGGGGGGGGGTCATTGGGCTAATCCGGGGGGGGGTCACTGGGCTAATCCGGGGGGATCATTGGGCTAATCCGGGGGGGGTCATTGGGCTAATCCGGGCGGGGGGCCATGGACCTGCTACTTATGGGTCAGTAGGCCTGTTGCAGTGTTCCTTCTTTCTCATTTTCTTATGTTCTTATGTAACAGTAGATGGTAATGGTAACAGTAGATGGGAATGGTAACAGTAGATGGGAATGGTAACAGTAGATGGTAATGGTATCAGTAGATGATAATGGTAACAGTAATCAGTAATGGTAACAGTAATGGTAATCAGTCCACCATAGTCGTGGACTATGGTGTTCTTCGCACCTACTGCTAGGTTGAGGGACTGATTACCTCATCTTCTGTACATAGTTCTACTGTCTTCAAGTTATGTCCTAGAATTTGTATTGATAAAGCCACTGGATGGCGAAACGTCTACAATAAAGATACCCAGATATTGCACATGTGTCTTAATTTTATCTTGTCGGTTTTTTATATACCA